TCAGAGGATGTGCTGGTTAATGGCTGTGTTTTAACAAGCAGATGGCCTTATAGTACAATGTACTTTACTACCCTGCTGAGGCGGCATTTAAAAAAAAGTTGTACAAGGGACACAGGTATTGCTGACTAGGCCATTATGCATTACCCAATGCTCAGTTAAGGGGGCAGATTTCCTTCCCTAAAGGACATTCATGACCCTGACAGGTTCTTTCAAACAACTGAAAGCAGGTATGTGGGTTGCCATTTGGCTGGCTTTCTCATTCCAGACTATTCATATTTCACCAGCTGCTGCAGTGGATCCTCGGACATTACAGTTCCGGATTATTGGGCCAGTGACATTACCATTTTAAGGAAAGACGATTCACAGCACATGCATGTCACTGGTTGAGCCCTGCCCATTCTTAGTTGCCCTGGAGAAGGTGTGTTGACCTGCCTTCTTGAATCCTTCAAGTCCATTTGGTACACGTAAACCAATTGCTGATAGGGAGGGAGTTCCAGAGTTTTGACCCAGTAGCACCGAAGGAATGGCAATACATTTCCAAGTTAGGAGCAGAGTTTTTAGGCGGTGGCATTGTCATTTTTCTGCTGCCCTTGACTATTTTGATGGTAGTGATTGCTAGTTTGGAAGGTGCTGCCTTTGTGATTTTCTGCAGGATATTCTGGAGACGGTGCAGACTTTTGCCATTGAGCATCATTGGTGGAAGGGGTGAATGCTTGTGGATGCAATACCAACCAAACCAGTTGCATTGTTCTGTACTGTGGAAAACTCCTTGTTGAAGCTGCACTCATCCATGTGGACAGTGCTCCATTACACTCCTGGCTTATGCTATGGCACACACACTTTGGAGCGATAGGTGGTGAGTTACTTGTGGCAGGATTCCTAGCTCTTGAACTGTTCTTGCAACTACAGTACTTATTCGAGTTCAGTTTCTGGTCAGCAGTACACCAGGACATTGATTATCAGGGATTCAGCAAAGATAATGCCACTAAATATTGAGATGATAGTTTGATTATATCCATCTAAAGAGAATCCATGTCTAATCATAAATATTACAGGGGTATATAAACACAGATCAAAATACAGCAGTCTAACAGAACTAATATTTTATGAAATAGGGAATACAATTTGATTTAATGAAATCTTCAGAACAAGGACCCTATAAGTCTAAAATTATACTTACTCTCCCAAAGGGCTCAAAAATTCCTCTCAACATTTCTTCAGTAATATTGAAGTGCAACGATCCTACATATAGCCTCATTGGTCCTGCAGTGCCTTTCTGTAGGTTGTTAGCAAGAGCTGCTGCTCGGTTCTTCTCAGCCTGTTTCACACAAATGACATAAGTTAACCTTCTCTTTGAAGCCATACATGGAATCATCCAAGTTAAAAGTCGTAGAATTCTAAGATTGCAGCCAAGGTAAGCTGAAATTGACAAGTTGTAGAAATATTAACAAAACAAAAAATACTTGCTGAATGATAAAGCACTGAAAGAATTTCATTCTAAATAAGGGCTCATGATGGTTCTTTTATTCAAGTTATTCTGTGATTTTACAAATAACTGTGTACTAAATTTGAAAAAATCCCAGGTTCCCATCATGAAGATGTCAAATCTTGTTTCACCAAATGAAAACTGAAAGGTAACTAAACCTCTGAGATGAAAAAGCTGCTCATCAGCTGTTAAGAGAAAGTGACTGTCTCTTTATCGAGTATTTTAAAAAGTTAATTGTTGACTTTAATACATTTTCCCTTATTTGCTCATTAACTACCGATATCACTGGCAAGGTAAGCATTTATTAACTAATACTGATTGATTATGAGAAGGTGACTGCCATTTTTTGAACCCCTGCAGTCAACGTGCAGCACCTACAGACACATAGCTGCTGAGGAGGAGATTTCAACTCTGTGACAAATTAATAACAAACATTTCCAAGTCAGGACAGTCTGCGGCATGTAAGAAAATTTGGAGGTAGGCAATATGCCCGAGGTACTAAACGAGTACATTTACACACAGGAGATGTGGCCAAAGTCAAAGAAGAGGTAACTGCAACACCAGGTAGGCTAAAAATTAATGAAGAGCTATAGAGGCTGGCTGTAATTAAAGTTGATACAGTCATGAGGACTGTCACTTGGATCAGAGGATAAGGAGGAAGAAAGCATGAAAATTGGAGGCACTGTCCAAAATCTTCCAACCCTGCTTTGATAGAGGTGTGCCAGAGGACTGGTTAAAAGGGCTGTTTAGGTCCTGGTTAAAGGGGCTTTAAGTATAAACTCAGCATTTACAGTCGAGTTATCATAACATTGGGTAAATTCTCATAACAGATGAATCAGCATAATCACTTCAATAAATGTGAATTAAGAAATGTCAGCATGAGCATGTTAAAGACAAGTTCTATTTATTTAATTTGGTTGAAGATTTTTTGATAGGGTAACAGAGTTGACAAGAGTAATGCAGTTGATGGGATGTACACAGACACTCAAAAATGTATTTAATTAAAGTGCCTCAGGCTTGTTAGCAAAGTTAAAGACAACTGAATAAAATGGATAGTGGCAGCCTGGTTATGAAATTGGCTGAGTCAAAAGAAACGGATAAGTGTTGAACAGCTTAACTGGGGTCTGGAGGAAGGTATACAGTGAGGTTTCAGGGAATGGTATTAGGATCAATGGCTTTCCTTAATTTAGATTAATGACATAGACCTAGAGTATTACAGGATAGGGGACCACAAAAAAAACGGCGTTGAAATACAGACCATCTATTACGTAACTTAAAAGCAACCCAAGTTTCAATTTGAACGGCCTACTCTTTTCCTGTGTTGCTCCCTATCCTACAGGCTACAGCTGTCAATTCTCCCACATCAATTACTGGGTTTGACAAAACTGTTTCAAAAAGTAGGTTGACAGAGTCACGATTGGAATGGCACAACACTGCACTAATCACAGATCGTTCACCAGTTGTCTCATGCATTAAACATATTTAATCCAGAAAACTAATTTTAATGTTAAAGATAATAGATACACAAACTAACCAAAATTGAAACGTTACTTTAGGTATACCTGTTGACTAAGAGTCAACACAATAAGCTTGCAC